CATAACTTCCAAACAAACAAACAAAAGAAGGAATATCCCATCCTAGGTGAGATCTGCCTAAATTTTGTATGAATGAGCATGCATTGCTGAAATAAGTTTTCTTTCCACTTTACATTTCTATGGAACCATACTGGATATATCTGTGAAAACCAAAAATAACACTGCCAGCTGTAGTAACACATTGAAATGAAGCAATGAAAGAATGGAAATTTTAGAGATTTACCTCAGGAAAAAAAGGACTAGATGAAGTCACTGAGATCAAGATGCTAGGTTATAGAGGTTATATGATCAGAAAGTTATATCTGCAACACCTGTTTCACTGATGCACTGCCCACATTGCTCACCTTACGTTAAACACAGTAAAGAATGGATAAAGAATCAGCACCTCAGGCGGTGTAGAGTCAGTTCATGTCACCAGTTGTCACCCAGCAGATATGACCAGGTGGACCTTTTTGCTTGCCCCTCCAGAACATAAAAAATTTCTCCTAAAGTCAAACTGGAGTTATTCCTTTACTACATAAAAGGAATAGAGACTTGAATGGAATATAGAACCCCAGATTCATATATATGGAAACATTAACTGTAGTTCCAATAGCAGGAATTTAACAGGGCTCTGGATTTCATGAGGTTGGTGAACAAACACCACCAATTTCTAAAACACATTGATGCATCTACTCACATCAGGTTTTTTTATTATTTGTCTAGATCTAATTCTGCCACTCTTATCTGTCTGGGCTCAAAGTGTCTCAACAGACACTTACATCCTGCAGAGGTTTTACTCATCCACACTGCATACTGTTGTCTGTGCAACAGGGCAGCCAAATGTCAAAACAGGAACAGAAAAAAAGACAGCTCCTCACTTTTTAGCCCAACCTGTCATTCATCTTTACATCAAACAGCTTCAAGGTACAAAAAGTTGAAAAACTTTTTAGTGTACCTTTAAGACAACATTGCCCTTAATTCCTTTTCCATTACCTCTTAGAGTGGAGAACTTTTTCGTGTTCTTCACTATTCAAACTTGTTTATGATGCCTACATATCTAAAACAGAAAAGCAGAGGCATGCAAGGCACAGGATTTGTGTAGTACAAGATCTCCAGGTGTCACTCTCTAGAAACACAGATTACTGCAAGTGGCAAGGCAGATGACCCAGGGGTGATCCAAAATGGCCAGAAGTCTGGCCATGAGAACATCTTCTAATAACAACATTTACAAAGTCAGGTCTCGCTAAGCAGACAAGCAGCACCCTCTTAACCACCTTTGAAAGCACCACCTTTGAAGAAAAAAACTCATTAATTCACACTGAATACTACACAGTAGCTTTGGAACGATACCTACCGTTGTAAGAGGAGGAAATAGTTAGAACAGTTGGGTAGTGCCATGAGAGAAACTCAACCATTTTTGTGGTGAGAGCCTTTGTTCTCAATCACAAATTCTTTCTCAAACACATCAGTCTTTTACATTATATAGAAATGAATATCACTGAAAGGAAGGAAGGAAGGAGACACACATGATGTGTGATGTGGTACTGCCTGGTGGGCATAAAGGAAACACACATCAGGCATTTCCCATTCTCCTCCATCCAGTGATATGCATGAATCCTACTACTGCACCAGCACTGAGAATAAATCATTTCAATTAGCCAATAGGTACTGGTTGAACACTGCAGGTGTGTAGAATGGAGCCCAATAAGGAAGAGTTTCAAATTAAAATCCACAACCCTGCTCATGTGTTACGGTCATGAGCAACAGAGAGACCAGTCCCTGGATCGCTCTGACAGGTGGATTTCATCTGCATGAGCAAAGTGATGGGTATGTGTTCTGTAATGAACATGAGCCCAGTGATGTAATGGCAGGAACCAACACTAATTCTATGCTACAGAAAGAATCACCCCACTTTCTGTCCGTTAGATCCGTGAAAATACATGGTCTGGTTCTCCACTCACGTGAGTTTTATTCATCTGTTACTACATTTTCAGGGAAAAAACTCCTGGTTTATAATCACTGTAAGTAGGAGGAGGACTAAGACTAAAATACTTCTAATGAAATAGGTGTTTCAAACAGTTTAGTGAATGATTCAATATGAATAATTCATTTGGAAAACCTGTTATTTTTCCCTAGTCCTGAACAGACCAAGAATAGATTGTGAACGTTTAGCATTTATATGCTACTTGCAATTATTTGTGAACTACATCAAGCAATTTGTGGTCTACATGTTACTCAAACAGGAAATTATGATTATTAAATAAAACATAGAATTTACAACTCCCATAGCAAATTATGTCTTTTGACTAATTTATGTAATTAGCTTAGCCAGCCTGCCCTTCATGGATTTCAAACTGCATGTTCAATATTTGCAATTATCTGTGCAGACAGCAGTTACATAAGTCATCTGATCAGTGACAGAAACACTACCATGTGGAATGCAGTCAAAATAGCAAAAGCAGCATATTCTAAAATTTAAACATTTCAGAAAATACTGAAACATGCAGTTAAAATTTACAGCTCTTTTCTGTTCAAAAGCACAGGGGGAGGAAGCTTTTCCCCTCCTCAGCAAGTGCTAGTCTCTATACACATACATGGAAGAGGTGGTATGAGTGTGAGGTATTGCTTGTTCACTATTTTTATCCAGAACATTAAGTGTGTTGCTTAATGTTTTTAGTAGGTAAGCAGCACTGCTGGTTTGTTACTGGGGCTGGAGAGGGAATGGGGTGCAGCAGGAGAACAAGCAGCTTAGCACATGTGAAAGAAAGGCTCAGGAAAGGCATGGGCATGGACATGGACAGCCAGTCGAGACAGCTTGAAAGAAGATTTGGTCCAATTTTCAGTCCGGTAGGATTTCAATTTTGGGTAGGATTTCCCACATTCTCCTTTTTGAACCACATTTGAAGCTAGGATTTGAAAAACTACATGCTTTTGATCATATCACCCTCATGATAGTTGCTGACCCCCAGTTAGACCGAACTATGGCCTCACTGAAACATCTGAGAGCTTGGGTTTTAGATGGGATGGAACCAGAATTTCACACCGGATCCTCAAAATCATGGTTGTGCTCCTCCTCTCTGTTCTTACTAAACAGTCCTGCTAGGTCCTCTTATTTCTAACTGCTTTATGCCTCATCCCCATTACTCCTAGATATTCTTCTCTAACCAATTAAACAAACCTGAAATCAGCCAAAATTTGACATAAATCAACTTCCACTGGTTACCAGTGCTCATTATAACAGACTGTCTCTTGTCATTGGTATTGAACACTGTAGAAAAAGGAACAGGACCTAAAGAACACCATAAGGCATGCTTAAAGCAAACAGCCCACTGCCAAGATGTATATGACAGCAGCCACAGTGACTCTTAAAAAGTCTGTCCTAGCTTTGGCACAGTAAAGCATGACTGTCAGCAATGGGCATTTCCTTACTGCAGGAAAGCAGTTCCACTAAACTGCAGTGCTGCCTACCACTCTTATGTTGCCTGAAACACTGAGAAGGAGATAGCAAACTACCAGAAATATTAAAAAAACCCCAAACCCAAGTGCTTTGAAAATATACCCAGATAATAGGTCAGCCTCTCCTATTATCACTGCCTTCTACCTTTAACAACTCCATGAGTTCTGGACATCCTTTTCTATATAATTAATATTTTTATTGTTGTCATCTTCCCTCTCTCACCTTCTTATGTTCTCTTACTACTTCATTCAGCAGTGAAGATGGCAGTTTTTAAATCTAAGGTGTACTGAGTGTTAAGGACCAAAAATTCATATTCAATCACTGAAATAACTGGCCTGATTTTCCCCTGCACATACAAATCTTCTTTTGTTGTGGATGTAAATGATTCTGATGATACTCCTATTACCAACCCTGTAATACAGTTACAGCTATTGAGGTTTGTGTATTGTGTGCAAGTCAAAATGATGAGTTATGAGTGAGTCTAGTTATCTGCATAGTGGTGATGATGTCTCCTCTGCAGTCACAGATGTAGACAGATAGCTTCTTAGCTAGGGCTTCATCTGCATTTGCAACTCCTCCCTTAAACCTAATTCCTCCCTTTTGGGAATTTATTTCACATTGTAATCCCTTATCATGAGCACAAATGTGAGAAGTGGGGTGTTGACTGCTTCTGAAGGCCATTCCCTTTCCCCCACCCACACGTACCCTATAACTGTCAGACTCCACAGGCCACACTCCCTTAATCTCCTAGTCATTCTTTGGCTTTGAAGAAAATTGGCAAATCTACAGAGGAAAAAGGCAAGTTTCGCTTGCCTTAAAGACATCAGAATGGTAAACACTGCCAATTTTAACACAGAGCTAGTACCTTGACTTGTGTCCCCCAACAATCTGAATGAAAAGCAAACGATATTCTACCTCTGAATCAAAACCTTTCCTACTTGACTGAATGCATCTGATACCATGACAAAGCAAATACTGGTGAGTTTGAAGGCAGTACTGAAATGCATAATGCTAGAAACACAAACTTTGTTTTTTCTAAATAAGAAGGTGCTTCAACAAAAAGTACTTTGATGAAGTTACTTTAATGAAGGACTAATTGCCTCCAAGTGAGGAAATTTGAAAAAAAGATGTTACAAGCAGCTTCTTACTCAGAAATTAGCAGCCAGGATCAATAAACAAAACATAAAATGTAGCCATATTATTGATGCAGATACTGATGCAGATAATGTGGGCATAATACTGTTATAAAGGGTTGAATTTGGTGAAAAAAGCTGATGAAATAGGATAACTGATGTTAATTCTATCGAGGCTGACTTCAGGTAGCTAGTGTTCAACCAGTTTGGTTTTTATATGGCCTTGAAAGATATGCCAACTAGAGCTGCTAAATCCATATTGCAATTAAAAATGTTTACCTTTGTTGATCAAAAAAAAAAATGAAATGGAAGAAAAGAAAAATAACATACCATGTTCACACACAAAACAAAAAGAGCTATATCAGGGACATCAGGGAAGGTGGAATACTATAACAACACATTTTATATTGTTATACTATTCCACCCACCTTAATGGAGAACCCTTCGGTGTGGCTACGCCGTAGCCTTTGGAATCCAGATTTCCTCCCACTTTCATGGTGTCACATGGCTTTCGTTGCTCAATGTATTCATTCATGGTGGACTCCAGCAGGAAGGCAAACTTGCCCTTGGATTTGCGGACACGAGCTACTCCCTCTGCAGTAGTCCTAGTGAACACTGATGGCTCAGCTGATTTCATGTAGGTCCACATCTTTTCATACACTGCTATTTTTGATCTCTGGAGAAAATCAAAAAGAAGTTAGAACAAAAGAATGTTGCAACGTTTCAGAATGGCACTGTTCAAATAAAATCAATCATATTTAATTTTTCAGACAACTGAGATTGGGGAAATCTTCGACAAGGATTTTATTTGAATTCCATGATTATTTTAAAAGAAAAAAGAAATAACGGTATCAATAATCTAATGTCAGATGTTATTTTTAAGTTCAGCTAGCCTCTAACAGTCAAAAAAACCTGCAAAGCGGAATTTACTGTTAGATAAAGACACACACAGTCAGAGTATTGTAAAGTGTGTTTTAGGGAATTACATATGAAATAGATATCCACAATAAGCCTGTATGGTAAAGACAAACAGTAAAATAATCTCCCCATAAATACTGAGCTGAATCTTCAAGCATTTCTCTCACCACTAAACCCACAATAGTTTAAGTAAGATTTCTGCTTTCATAATTCAGAGTTCAGAATTAATTTGATTTACATTCAGAAAGGTTTCACAATATTTGAAGACACAGTTCACAGTAACAGGTGGAAACAGCAAATTGGACCAAATATGCTATTAAAGGAAGTGGAATGCCGTAAGCATTTTTCTTAAATAATTTGGTAAGTTTTTAGAAATGTAGTATCAGTGGATTTACTTTAAACACTCTGATACAGCCAGTATCAGAGTAAGAAATGCACTTGCTCAAAGAATGAGCAAGAATTTGTGGCTTAGAGTGCATTAGTTGGAAATTTTCCTGTCTGGGAATACATGATGTAACTACAGGTGAACACTTACGCAAAAAAAAAAATAAAAAAATTCTTAATAAAAAAGAAAAGCAAAAAAAATTTGAACAGAAAGAAAGGAAGGAAATGCTGTCAGAAAAAGCTGAGAAGTTTCCTATGCTCATTAGATTCACCCAACAACTCCTTTGCTTCCTCCAGCAATAAGAATATATACATGCAAACCAGCAGTGTGTCAGCTAAACACTACACAGTGTTTTTATAATAACAGATGGCACTTGTCTTCTCTTATGCATGCTGCAAAAAGGACTTTTTAACCTAATGATCAAGTCAGCTTTTATTTGAGTCAACAGGAGTTTCTAGCTAAGCAAGATTTGGTCCATGAGCTTGTTCCTACACTGTGTGAGCACTCAAGGAAAATATCCATTATTATAAATCCCCAAAACAAGAGGTCTTACAATATTTAAACAAAACCCAAATCTGTAATCTTGACAATTGCTTTAAAAAGCCTTTGTATAGGTGAGAATAATTTCTCTGAAGCACATCTTTTTACCAATTACTGAATGATTGCATTATTTCTTAGAAAATAATTTGTTAGGAACATAAGTTGGTCTTGAAAAGAAGTGGCATTTAACCAGAAATGTTCAATAAGAATACTATATAGCAGAACATCATACATTATCCTTGCTTATTTTAATTTGTCTACACACATAATTTTATCTTTCTGTCAAATATAATAAAATTTAAATCAACAACAGCTGTGCTTGTCCACAGTAATATCCTGTTTTGTCACCATTTCTTTCCACTTTAGTCACAGCTACTTTTCATTTACATAATAGTGGCTGGGAGCAAAGCATAAACTAAGCCACCAATGCATTCTTTTTTTTACACTGATGTAATTTCATTGATTTAAATTTACAGAAAGAAAAGAATGGAAGAGAGCAGTAATGAATCAGTCATAATTTCAAGAATATTTTGTTGGCTTTGTCAGCCTTCACTTCCAAACATTTCTTGCATCTTAACATCCCTTACAGTTCTTTATAAAGTAAACATATAATAGTCACTTTCATTTAAAACTAAAGCTATGCCGCACATACAACAGGGCATGATTAGTAAGAGGAAACAACACTCTAAATAATTTGAAAAAGGCTGCATTGAATTTTTTTTTTAAGCATCTAATTTCCTTTGCCTATCAAAAGATAAAAAATATTGGAAGTCTAACAAAGTGTCCTGAAGGTTCATCTTCCAGCCAGATAATCACCACTGACATGTGACTCTAATACCAAAAGATGAAGATGATTGCTTTCAAAACCACAAAATTTTAGACTTGGCACACAAGTCTTCTTGTGCTATTGTTTCAGGCTAGGTCTTAATTTATGTATTATGCAAACAGTGTTTATGCAAATATTGTCTGTTGATAGAATCATAGAATCATAGAATCATAGAATAGATTGGGTTGAAAGACCTCCAAGATCATCAAGTCCAACCCTGATCCAACTCTAATTACTATATCATGGCACCAAGGGCCATGTCCAATCTCTTTAAAACCCAGGGATGGCAGAATCCACCACCTCTGGGCAGGCCGTCTAATGCCTGATCACCCTCTCTGTAGCACTTCTCTTCCCAACATCTAACCTAAACTTCCCCTGGCAGAGCTTGAGCCCATGTCCCCTTGTCCTGTTGTTGGTTGCCTGGGAGAAGAGACCAACCCCCACCTGGCTATAACTTCCCTTCAGGTAGTTGAAGAGAGTGATGAGGTCACCTCTAAGCCTTCTCTTCTCTAGACTAAACAATCCCAGCTCCTCAGCCTTCTCCTCATAGGACTTGTGCTCAAGTCCCTTCACCAGCCTGGCTGCTCTTCTCTTCTGACCCGTCTCCAGCACCTCAGTGTCCTTCCTGAACTGAGGGGCTCCAGAGCTGAACACACACTCAAGGTGCGGTTCTCACCAACGCAGAGTACAGGGGTAAGGATCACTCCCTGCTCCTGCTGGCCACACTGTTTCTGATGAAGCCAGGATGCCATTGGCCTTCTTGGCCACCTGGGCACACTGCTGGCTCATGTTCAGCTTCCTGTCGATCAGCACCCCCAGGTCCCTTTCCACCTGGCTGCTCTCCAACCACTCTGTCCCCAGCCCAGCCGTAGGTTGTTGTACAAAGCAGCACCTGGACCTTGGCCTTGTTGAACTTCATCCCATACTTTATCTTTGTCCCTGTTTTGTGAGAAGTATTTTTAGAAATAGCACATACAATATTATTAAAAATTGCTATACTGTGAGAGATTAGAAATCATTTGATAAGAGGGCCTCAACTGCACCATTTTTTAAAAAGTGATCAACACAGTTCAAATATTGATAAAGGTTCAAATTTTGCATATGCAACAATATTTAGTATTTGCAGTTACTTTTAATGTTTCCTTCTGTATTTTGAAAGAAAGGAAAAATTAAAAGAGGAGCACTGATTTTCTTTCTTTTTTCCCTTAACCCTTGAAGACTGAAGTGAAAGGACTGTCATTACAGACATTTTTACTTCATTATCATGTCTTCTTTTTAAGAAGAGATCTTGCATAGTGATTCGAAACAAAAATGTTTCTGTGTTTGCAGGATGATTTAAAAGAATGAAATTTTTGTGACCAGTAGTGTTTCTGCATCAAAATACCTGACCTCATTACTTCAAAACAATGGTTTGTGCAAGTGTTCTAAAACTCTTAAGAAAAAACAACTCCATTCCTTTGCTCCTCACTATTTCTTTGGGAATTAATTTTTGCATCATCACCTAAAAAAAATTACAAGCACTGGATACTCTTGAAAATGCAACAAGTTAATAAATCCAGTTACATAAATCTGCCTAGTCATCAGCATCATGTGTTTAAATATTACCACAGCTTCACTCTAGTTGAAAGTACTATTTTTACCCATATACTGTGGTTACCACCTCAGCTAATGATGGACTGAAACTGGAAGGTCCAGAATTAAATAAATTTCTACAAAATGAACTAAAGAAGAATCTATGGGTTAAAGATAGGTAAATATAAATAATGTGTATGAGGGACTATACTCTTCTAAGGAAAACAGGAAATCTGGCCATCTCAGTACCAACATATCTCAATTCTCAGAAAAAAACCCTTCTGTATTTAATATAATGCCACCACTTTTGTAGACATCTGGTATGAAATTAGGGCTTCTAAGGACCACGAGTTGAGTTTCTACCACTTGGGATACAAAATAAAGCTCCCAGAGAACACCTCTAGAGTCATACTGTGTGTACAAACACCCTGGATATAGAAGAAGACAGGTGTAGTTAGAAACTTATCAGTGAACCCTACCCATTAAAAATGAGGTACCAAGCACCCTAGCCATTTGAGTGGGATACCTTTAGAGCCCACACAGAGGTAGATACTTCCATGTGTGATTTATTTCACCATAGCCCGCATGTCCCATACAGAATGCACAGGGCTGCTTTTCTTTCTCCAGTGCCTACAGAAGAAAGCTAGAAAACTAGGTTAAACTGAACTCCTTGATCAGTTCCTTGATGAGAAGGTCAAACCACTATGTGTTTGTTAAGTATGTCTTATAAGTCATCTTTTTACAGCTAATAGAACAGATTGGCAAGCTCTTCTCTGGGTATACCTGTAACACTAAAAAGGTTATTTCACTTCAAAGCTTTTGGGAGTCACTCAGAAGCTGCCCTTGAATTGATATTGTCTGTAGTTCCAAATTCCATGCAAAATTTTTGTTAATGGTTCACTGAGTTTAGTTTGGCCAAATTAAAAACACTTAAAGTGCGTGGGAGTGCCTAACACAGAACATTTTCCTTTCAATTAGGCAATAAGAAGAAATTATCACTTCATTTTCCTGACTTCTAATAATGCCTTAAACTCCACATTTCAGATAAATAAAGACCTTAAACTGTGCAGTTTTCAAAGAAGGATTATTGGCTCACAGCATTTACTCAGGGCTGTGTTCAAAACACTAAACTCACTTCAGTCAGATGAGCTTAACTTTCATCTGCTAGACACTTGAAATAAAGCAGGAGGTACTGCTTATCATGTACTCCTTGTGATGTCCAGGCTCCCTGTTTTCCAGCTGGCGAATGATGAGTATTACATACACTAACGCAGGAAAGCAAATGAAAATGAAGCAATCAATAGAGACAGCACAGACAAATGAATGGCTATTTAGGCTATTTCCTAATGCTCCAACCACATCCCCTCGAGTTAAATTTTCTCTTTATTATCCATCTGAAAGTCAGCATATTAAAAAATGCATATCCTGCCCCCCCCGTAGACCCTAAAGCAAAACTCACACAGCCAAATCCATAAGCAGAAGCAAAACCTGCAAGAGTCCAAATTACCATCACAGGCTTTCAATGCTGCACATCAGTACCGTAGCTTCAGATGAATCAATAGTGCAATGCTGCTTTAATTATCACTGGCTTCAGTATCCCCCCAGGCACCTCTTTTGCCCATGTGACAGGATCAATAAGCTTTCCACAAATCAAAAAAACTGAAAACTCCAACAAATGGATTTGTGGGGATAAAAATACAGCTAAAGTATTGCAGGAATTACAAACTATATTACATATAATTGCAAAGCAACATTATTTCACACTTCCAAGCATCTTATAAGAGCAATTGGTAGGGAGAGGTGCTCTAATAGATATGCCAACTTACTCTGAAGAACTCTTTGGTTGACCCTGAGTCCAGTGTCCCATAAGCAATCTCAGTTTGTTTGGCAAGGTCTTCTGCACTTTCTATGGGTGAGACCATTCGCTCAACAGTCAAGAAAGCAGCGAGGTTAGCAGTGTAGGATGAAATAATGATGAGCGTGAAGAACCACCAGACACCTCCAACAATGCGACCTGAGAGGGATCTAAACATGAATAAGATAATGCACTTTTTCCTGTCTCTTAAGCCACAAAGAGAGAGAGAGAAAGAGAGAGCGAAGGCACCATTATTGCTGACCATGTGTCATTAAGTAACAGTCAGTGGGAGGAAGATCATCTGCATTTTAGATACTTATAAATGCTTTTACTCTCAAATCTTAACGTCTACAGTACAAAGTCCACTGTACTATTGTGCATCACACATATACAGAAGCTTGAATTCTCTTGAACAGTAATCTCAGTGGGTATATTATTTCAGGACATGCCTAAAATAGGAAAAAAATTTGACAAAAATCCTGGATAGACAATCTCTTTTTGGAGACAAAGGTAAAGCATGGTATCTGACAATCAGTAGCATTCTCTGTTTCCTCTTAAAAGAAACCTGCAAAAATCTTTGCACGTGGATTATGTTTGCTGTAGGATTAAAATGTGTCGCTGAAACTTTTCAAACATTTTACAGGCTACTGCAATCATTTGAACATTCACATTTTTCTTATTTAAGAAGCAAGAATTTTGTGGTAACAGAGACATTTCTGTTAAATAAAAACTTACATTTTCCTTTCCAATACCTGTAATTTGATGAGAAGGCTGTTGAGGAATAATGTCCATCCACTCTTAATCAGTACCAGTTTTATTGCTAACTTCAATAATAGATGGGTTAGGCCAATGCTGAACACTCAAAATTTCACTGCAAATGGCTAAAATGAAGCATTTAAGTTTGAAAGATTGGGTCATAACATTTAATTAAGAAGCTTTAGTTACTGCCCACTAAAGTTCCAGAGTATCTTTAAAAGGCTGAGAAATTCAGGACTGGAGTCACATATTAGATCTGAGGCACATGCTCTGTAAGGCACAGCTTAGCAATACAGCGTGGCTTCTCAGACCTAGATGGTCAAATATTGTCTCTCACAGATAGTGATATTTGCAAAGCGGCACTGTAGAACTTGACAGAGAACAGAAATGGGAGAATCCTTGATGGAAGGCAAAAATTCAGCATGATTTTTTGCATTTCACAGATGTAATGCAATGGAACCAATGTAGCAACAACACAGTTCCTCAGAATTCAACTCAGTGGAATTTCTCCTGTGTGTACCTTTTGTTCCTGAGGGCTGTTTGTGGTTTGTGGTAATTGATATTGGTTAAATAATAGTAATGACTGAAATTCAAAGTAGATTATCTGTTGCCCTTATCATGGTCATTTAAATAAATAAATAAATAAATGAAAAGGCTTCATAAAGAATGAACTTCAAAACACTGCCAGGAAAATTAACGAAGGAAGATTTTATGCTTCAGTGTTGAAGATAAAATGCAAATGTAAAAAGATTTGACACAAACCTTGGGGAAATATCACATCCTTGTTGCATAAAGGCACCCAGGGAAAACCAGAGGCTGTTGAATATGCCAAACTCATTGGGAGGCTGGTCACTGGGTCCTTCTTTCCCATCCTCTGGTTCTTCTGTGTGCCACTCATACGGACTAAACCTGCTAACTAGGAAGAGGACCACACTGACACCAATGTAGGCAAAGACTATGCACATCCAGATCTCATACGCCAAAGGGTCCAAGAAGGAAAACACTCCTGGTTTAGATTTCTGGGGCTTTTTGATCATAATGGATATCCCCAAACTCATAAAAGGCTTAGAAAAATCAATGACCTCTTCTCGTACCAAAGTGATGGTCAGAGGCGCAACAGCAATCTCTGCTTTCTATAAAGAAAAAAGAAATATAGATGTATAGATTAATTGAAGTTGGTTTATACACTCAGCTAAGCAGCTAATTCCAAAGGTATGTTATTAACATTAGGACACTGTGGCTTAAATGCTCTATAACATTGTTCTGTTTCTTTCTATCACACTCTGTATTTACTCCATATGCTTTTAGTAAAACATACATATTGCAGGTTTTTAGTTTACAGAACTATACAAATACTTAATTTTTCTGCTAAGCAGAAGATTCTTAAAATCTTATAGAGGTGAACAACAGTGTAGGAAGATCATTTTAGGCATTAATTTAGATTTAAAGTAAAAGAATTCAAGGAAGAATGAAAAATGAGAATGACCCTATAATGACTGAACGTACAGAGATTTTTTTTTTTTGAGGATCCCAGAAACAGTAATTTATTGTCATATTTTCATAAGACATAATCATTTTTCAAGGGAAACCAGTTCACAGACTCAAGGAATCTCCAAATAGTATGAAGCCACAAACTTCTGATTAACTGTTGCTGTGATTCCACCAAACTGCACACAATTGTCTTGTCAGAAAGATAATTCAATAGGAATGATCAGATTTTAAACATTGAAAAATTCTAAGTATACAGAAAATAAGTGTGTGAAATCATGTGATAAAAGAATCAAAAATGTGCTGAATCCATTCCCACTACTGTCAGGAATATTTTTAAATGGGTTTCTAACGTTTTTAGAATGAAAACGCCAATCTTGAATGAATCATTACTGATTATGATTGCTAACAATGACGTCTGCATGAACTATAAGACATTGTAGCTAAGCTAATGGATCATTTTTGTCATTAGGGATGCAATTTTATGTTAAGAGTTGCTCCTTGCCTTGCCTTGCCTTGTATGCTAAAACTGTCATTATAGCAGAACTTCAGATAGGAATTGCAAGGGGAACTGGGTCAAAAGATGCACCTGTGGGAGGGGAACAGATGCAAAAGCTGCTGAAATCTTTCTCCTATTCATCACCATGGTGCTGTGCCTAGGTACAGTCACATAGCAGAGCCTGTGGACTTTTATATAGCTTATGGGCTAAGGAGGGTAATTGAGCATATTTTGTGAACATTTTGTTGTTTCAATGAGATTAAAACATGATGAAAAATAAAGATGGGCTCAAATAGTTTAATCCAAGTGTTATGTAAATAGCTTGGGTGACACAGAAAAAAAGAAATTGAAATGTAGGCTTTTTTGTCATCTTTAAACTTTGAAACAGATAAATGCATTTAAAATATTTTATGTTTTCTATTTTGTACACACTTATATTGAGTTATATATATTTTATTGAATTTAATTTTAAACTGATTTTTGTAGTCAAACCTTAAACCTATTTTTGCAGTTTTATAATTGTGAATAATTCAAAAGAAATGACTCATTCCAGTGCAGTGGTCCAAAAATGCAAATTTGTATGAAAATTGCTATATATTAATCATCAGATTGTATCTGTCATTCTGAAACATTTGCGATGCAAGCACTTATAATGTTATGTAAAGTTATTAAAGTTTAAGTAACACATCTAAAATCATAATTTTGCAAAGGTATCAGAAATTATCTCTGGTGCTAATATCTTCGGTAAATATTATGACAACACTGCTAATTCCCTGAATTTTATCTTAAGTTTTGTAATACCAGGCATTTTTAAAAATGGCTTCTTGATGCCTTATGATTACATAAGTCTTACTGAAATAGATATTTTATGAAAATAAGTATTATATGAAGAAAGATACTACGTCTAAAATATACTTTTTAGTAGCCTGAAAATTGTAAAGTAAACTTTGTTTCTGTAGTCTAAGGACTGTAGGATGGTTTGGGCTACTGGTTTTCCTGCATATTTTTGTATTTCATCTCACTCATAAATTCCTTTTTTTCTAGAAGAATGATTTCCTTCTTTAGAGCCAATGTTTTTTATATTTCTAAATTTTGGTTTCTGAGAATATCTAGTGTTGAGTCTTTGAAATTAATTAAGTGCAAGACTCATGGTAACTGTGATCTCTTACTGCCAACCTTCTCTGTTTTTGTCACATAGTGGCATCTTCATTAACACAGGGTAAATGATAGACCTGGTCATTGGTCTTCAAAGGCTTTTGCTAATGGGGTTTTTTGTGTGTCTGCAGATTGACACTGGGATTAAAATACAGATCCTTGAGTTTTTTCAGTTTTCACAATGTGAGTTGGAAAAGTGACATCACCATTTTAGTGTCAAATGAGGGGATTTTAAAGACCTACTTAGCACATTGCATATCATATATGAAACACTGGATAGGATTTATCTTACAAATTTAAATGCTCAAAGAGGATATGCAGAACTTGAACTACAGCAGAACTAGCTCCCAACAGTATTTGAAGAAGTTTAAGAGGAGAAGTAGGAACTTATCCAATTTCTTTACAATAGAGATCTAGTATCAGATGATTCATGATCTAGATAAATCCATTTCATGTCAATAAATGTAAAGGGACAGTATATAGCTAGGTCATAATTAAATGCCAAAAACCTCTGAAAATGTGCAGCCTCCCAAAACTGATAATATTATTTATTATTTTTATGAGACTTCTGTGTGCCGTGTTAAGGCCTACATAAACTTTTCATTTTGAAAGCTAAATGATGACAATAACTGTGCATGATAATTACCAGCAATTGTGCTTTGCCCAGTTAACGTACACCATGTAATTATGGATTTAAATGATTAACAATATAAGTATGGTGTAAACAATTAATGATTTTGTTGCCAATGAAATCTGTTTTGACAAAGACTAATGATACTTTGCAGTTGAATCAACTGAATCTGTAGCAGCATTTCAATCAAAGCTGCACCACTACCAAATACAGATGAATTCTGGATCCTTCCAATATTATACGAGACAAGATTGATTCTGATGGTGAGAGACATTTTCTTCTATGGCATATATCATTATTGTGAGTAAAATCTATGCTTGGTACAAGTTGTGTGAAGTTAGTAAACCTATCTGAGAAAAATCATGCAGAAAGTGATTTCAATCTCAGAATCTCATGGCTTTACAGATTTTGAACAGAAATTAATTGTGACCTTTTGTGTTAAGCAGTAAAAGAACAACATCGTGTGTCAGGAGAATGAATATTTAGTTGGAACTGACAGTGCATTTGGAAACACCTGTTGCACATGTTTAATGGTATTTTATACCCAGCCAGCATTTTTCCTGTGAGCTAGACACCGGGGCAAGTAGAATTCATATGCACTACTCCATGCATTTGGATATATCGGGGACAAATGACCAAGATTTCCTGGTAGTTTTTAACAGAGTGCTAAAAACAAAACCATCTACAGCATGACATTCCACACAGTCTTTGCAAAACTTTACAGAGCGGAAGTTCATACGCTCTTTCCTCTGGGACATGATGGAAAACTCAACTACAGAGCTCAGGAAACAAGTAAACTTCTCTGTGCAGCACCTGGGAGTCCAGGTACCAGAACACTCAGTGCTGCATACAGGTCTCAAGGGAACATAGGATAAAATTGTCACATGTCCACTCTCAGTAACATGGATAGGGCGACAGGGCATTGGGGTATGGTGCAAAGAGCAGGAAAGCAGGGGAGCCTTTTATGCACAGAAAGGATTCAATCTCACTGGCCAGCACAAAACTGTCTGTTAATCCTTTAATGTGGTTGGGAATTAAAAGCTCTCAATGTTTTCCAAACAGATCATCTCGTTAACTTGTTAATTCAATTGCAAAGTCTGTCCCAGTCCTGGCTGCACATAAAAAGCCTTGCTTGAAGCATAGCCAACTACTCAAAGTACTTGTGTTTGTCATTAGGAGATCTATCAGAGAAAATGAACATACTCTTCTAGCAGAGCTTTGCAGCAAAGTCTCTGGCTAGCTGATTTTTCTGCTTTGTGGAATAGGCCTGGGAACCTGATGCTCTGTAAATCATCTGGCAAGGATTCAAGGAATTTGCAGGAAGGATGCTCTTGAGGGATTCCCTGTGGAAATCTTTAGCAGCAAACTTCATAAGTTAACAGAAAGAACAATTTCCCTTAAAGCCACACCTGTAAAAGTAAATTTAACACATTTGGTGTAGCTCTCTGCCTTAAGCCCCACCTGACAGCCTGCATCGCTACCGTGACAGTCACCTGACCTCTAAATCAGCATGACTGCATTCAAGCTGCTTATAGGCAATGGTCCTAGTGTCCAGGTGGGCTCAGGAATTCTTTTGGACAGTAGCTATGGGCCAAAAATATAGCAGGGACCATTGCGATTTAGCAGATTAGGCAAGTTCCAAAGCACAGGGACACTCCCTGGTGCCACTGATACACCAGGATAGATATACCCTGAAGGAGCCTTCGGATAGTAGAGCAGTGGGCAAGAGCCAAACTTCTCTTAGTTCTTCAATAAAAAAGCCGTTCCAAGAGCCTTGCTGCAGCGTAGTCCCTGAAGCACAATGAGACTGCAGCCTTCCTAAACAGAGAAGTGGAAAGAGCCTTCCCTTCACCTCAGCCTCTTCCATTACAAAAAATGAAGTGTTAGCCATGTATTCTGGGTTATCCTCTTCATGTAGGTAATTTGCAACAGGTTCCTCATGCCTGTGAGCTTTATTGCTTTCAGCTGTGTTGACAGCCACAGGTGCTGATACATGTGTGTGAGCTTTCTAACAGCATTCTGTATGCCAGCATAGTACTGGGGCAGTTTGGGTTTGATGAGGTAAATTTTTCAAGATAAAAGGAGGAAAAAAAAACCCCAAACAAACAGAAAATGAAAGTGTAATATCAAGTTTCCTCTATAATTTTCAACTAGATGATAAGCCACTGAAAAGATGCATCTGGGCAAGGGAATTTTCTCATAAAGGGCAAAATTTCTTGGAATATTGAAAAAAACTTCTAGTGTCAAACAGTGCTTGGCCATTGATGTTCATGAGTTTGCTATTGAAATTAACAGCCAGACAAGGATTAATCTCAATACTTGATAAAGTAAGTCTGAAAAATCTTTGTTTTTTAATATCCTATGAGTTGAGCTGCTTCCAAGCCACTAAAGTAGACAGATATACATTCTTGGTGACAGTTTTTCTACTCTTCAAAGACATACTTGAGGTTGGTTCCTTCATGAACTTCCAAGAACATAAAGAGTTTTGTGAAGATATAACCTTTCCATTCCCACAGAGAGGTGAAATCACCAACGTTCTGGGGCATCATTTGCCACACTCTACAGCCCACACACTATTTCATTCTGCAGAATCCTTTGAACTGATGCTAATGGAGATGATGTTGACAGAATTTATCAGCTATACTTAGCTGACAGAAGACAATTGAAATGGACCTGCTAGAAAAGCCACAAGGCCTTTGCCATATATGGCCCAAACCATCACTGGAAATATGAAAACTGCAACTGCAACAGGATGGATCAACCATTATACAGGAGTGTTTTATATGGAGGTTGAGGCATACTATGAGTTCATTGGTGGAAATATTCTCACCTGAATAGTTTGAGGATTTTCTTTATTTCTTTATTGAAAAGTTTTTTTAAGAATTCTGATCTGTTCTCAGAGCAGATCCTAGCAACCACAGTCATCAGCAAGCTCAGCTCTCAGTTTTGATACTTTTCGTAACCTCAGATACTGCAAATATATATTTGGGCTTGCTGGAACTATTTTCATTAAATATTAGAACTTTATGTGTCAACAGAATTGTTCACTGTTATGCTATTCTGAAGAATCCTTCTTCAGATCACTGCATAACATAAAGCTCTCAGTTGTTAACTTTCTAAGTTTGTTCTTAAATTATATTATTTATTATATGTTCATCTTAAAAGACTGTCTTCATTCTGAACTGCCTAATTGTGTACTTGCCTGTAGTGGTTTGTTACATACTGTTTAATATATAATGGTGGATTCTCCATTTCTCAAACTAGAGCAAGAGTCCTATCTTTTTAAAAAGATCTGTCCACCATTCCATGAAAATGAATTAATGAGCGATATTCTTCCTAAGTTTTACAATGTATCAGGAATAGATGGTCTCTAACATTAATGACCTTTTAAGGAATATGCACACTATGGATGTTCTAATGTTACAAGGTACCAGTCAAATAAACAGTAGAACTTGGATGAAACTATTTGCTTTTCCCTTCAAAATAGGTGAAAACACAGAGATCTGAAACATGATTCTATTTCTTTTTTGTGACCCCAAGATTAAATAAAATGCATATGTACTTCCTATTTTATGACTTATACTATGATAAATTAAATCCTGCTTCAAAAATTGGTATGCTTACCCCATAAACAAGTTCTCCCACCATCCCATTCCAAATTTTTGTCTCTGGATCCCTTGCTCCATATTTTCCATCAGGAACAATGGCAATTTTGTACTTGATACCAATATGTTTTGCAATTTCTGATGCCAGATCTACACAATATCCTTCAAACTTGTCATTCCCTTCAAACGTATCATGGTTTTTCTTGAACATAACATATGGGGCTTCCTATAATGAAAGAAGCAGAACTGTAAAGGAGAAGTGCACCGAATATACTCTGAAAAAAAAAAACATGTCATGTACTGACTGAACAACACACAGTTTATCAAAAATTCATGGGTAGTATTAGCACACTTAAAATGTATGAACAGAAATCCCTTTGGAAAGATATACTATTTACACTGTAATTTGGCTTATACATTTCACAAGATTTATCAAGCTTACTTTGTTTGAAATGAAAGACCTTAGTGCAGGATATGCTAAATTTAAAGCATAGAGTAGAGGCTGAACCTATACAATGCAAAGTAAGTAAGCATATCCTCTAACTTAGTGTGGTTACTGTCTGTGTAATTTCAGATGCAGAGCCTGAATGACTCGCTCTCTTGAGGTTTAGAATGCATAACTACTAAGAGGCTACGTACATTTTAGTGAGAACACAGAAATATATTCCCAAGGAAACACATATCTTCTGATTTAAATAAACACTGCAGATTCTGCAAGGTATTTTAGGATGAATATAAGCAATAAGTATGGACAAGAATGGTATTAAGTTGACAGTGACTTTACATGCTGCATGAGATAGAAGTACCGAAATATTTTTGAGTGGCGAGTGTCACTGGAAACAAGTAAAACCTGTCTTGAAAAGTAGATCTTGCATTCCCTGTGTAAACCATACCATCACAACAGTGAACATTACATTACTGCGATATCAAGGCTAAATTTTTCTTTTTAGCTCTGTGTGAATTTAGACTTTAGCAATCATTAAATAAAACTATACTTTTTGCTGGTATTTTAAATCACTTCATGTAAATTCATATTTACATTCATATGAATATATTCATATCATTTCACATAATTCATTTTTTTCTAATCTAAAGTCACCCTTTGTTTGAATTTACATTGCAAAATACTGGTAACTTAAGTTTTCTCTGTGCTGGCCTTGTCTAATTTTGGGTCTTTTGACAGTAACATTGAGAGTACTCTGCCCTATTCACTTCTTTCCTACAGATAAAATTAGTAAAAAGTAAAAATAAAAATAAACATGTAGTATGACAATGTTTGCTTCATTGAAACTACAAGAACATCAGCTGCAAGCAATAGAAATTTTGTAACCTCTATTAGTGTTTAACAAGGGAGGATATGTGTCATTACATGAGTGTCTTTTCCCACTCATGGGAAGAAAAGCATAGGGAGAAAAGCATAGAGAAGGCATCCTGCCCTTTCTTTGCACTAGATATTGAATTTGGGAACTATTTTGGCCACATGTATCAGCTATTGCTCCCTCATGTTTCCCATGAGAGGAAACCCCAAAATCAGTGTCTTTCTACCTGTTATGGAGAAAAACTGGTTTAAAATAAACAGAAGCAAAAATCCTATGCCTCCTGTCTGTGATTTAGCCAACTGCTAGCTAGAAGTGCAATCAAGTCTGTCCAGTGTCCAGCATTTCTGAGCTCCCCTTGTAAGCTTCAGCTACATTTGCTTACTGCACCTCAAAAGCAATTTTGTGTTCCAAAGACCAGAGTTCGTGACTGCTAGCTCTTCTGATTCAGCCATAAATCCCAAGAAAAAGGCATACAACTGGAGTCACACCAGGAAATAATAACTCTGGAGATGCACACAAAGAAGACAGGCACAGAGGACACCAGGTCAGCCTGCTCCTTCTTCCAAAACCCAGACATTGTGCATCTGCCTCTGAAGGCCTGGTTCTGGCAGGGATCTGACTTGGGTGACTTGGAGGAACCACAATGGTTCTCTCCCTATCCACTTTTTTTCACACTGATCATGCTGATTTAGAGCAAAATACAGCAAAGAACATTTCTTATAATGCAATTATCTTATAGTGTAAGATAATAGCTCTTGCTGTGACTGCTTTAAAAGAAGCAGCAATTGAGTGTGATCTGCCAGTGTGAAATGATACAATTAAAGATAACAGGAACACCTACTATGGTTTGCTTACTATGTTGTTCTTTCCCTCCTATCTATTTTATACAGAGTAAATAACAGTTTCTGTAATTGTTGTGCCTACGTTACCTGCCAAATAATGAGATATGTATTTTTAAGGCAGAATTTGATGGGGGGATGTGGATGGGACTGAATGTGAGTTTCTGATAAAGACTGTCTTTAAAAAAAATCAAATAGTGGCACTACTTTTGGGTTCTGTACATTTCAGACTTTGAGGGTGTTTCAAACTAATTACATGTGCAAATTTTATAATAATAAAAGGACATTGAAAGGTAAGCTTTACTAGATTGCTAGCAAGTAACTTACACAGATGACTTTCAAGGTCATGCTGCAAAGTCATGAAATACCTGAATTAATCAATAGCATGTACTCAGCCATATCTTGATGCTCTTTTCTAGCTATGGCACTAAAAAAGACCTTTCTTCCGTATAACCTATTGCAATAGCTTTTTCTAAATTAGTAGTAATGTTAGTGTAGCCATGATAGTCTAAAGATAGAAAATATTAGCTGAAATAGCTGAAAACAGTAGGCATACCTTTTCACTGTTTCCAATTATAGCATCTTGTCTAATATAAAGATTATCTCTCCGAACCATATTTGTATTTACTACATTTTTGAACTATAAGCTCTTAACCTACTGATGTAAACCACACATTTAACTTACTGCTGAATGAGGTTTAACATGGCAATATTTGCAAGATTTCAGCTGCTTAATAGTATTCTATGGGGCAGTGAATCAAGGAAAAGTCCACATTGAAATGATCAATGACTAGCACGGAACAGATATTTGAAATGATGCAAGCTTTACTTAAATAATTCACAATTTTATAACAATACTTAACATTTGTAAATACAATTTGATGTTCTGCAACAATTACCTTTATAGATGTAAACAAATCATTTCACCACATTGCCACAAATTCATGTGTACAGTAAAATGCTCACAGCTGATGATTCATACTATAAGGGAAGCTGGAGAAAGTAACTAACCCAAATATCAAACAGATCTATGCTTGGTTTTCCTATTCTAAAGTTGATTTCAAACATTGCAAAAATAATTTGTAAAAGTGACAAATATCTGTGCAAGGAAATTTCTGCTTTTTAGAACAGGACTGGTACACTTTTATTATCACACTTTATTCTGAAAGAAATTTCTGTAAATGTCAATGGAAGGTTTTTTTTGGTGAATTTTTGTCCTTTTTTTTTCTGAATAAAGTGTCCAGGATTCGGTTTGAAGTCCTATTGTCATGCAACAAACCTCTTCTTTTATTCTCCAGTCTACTGAAGAACTCAATTAATAAAACTTCTAATGAAAAAATAATTTTATTATGAGAAAAAAAGGTTATAATTAGAATTTTTGAGGTAAGTCAAAGAGTATATCAAGAGTATATCAGTAAAAACAATGAGGGTGGTTCTCAGTCCTCTCATGAAAGCTACTTGTCATCTGAGATACCCTAATGTATTTGACCCCAAAGTGCCATTCTGCAGGTCCTGTGTGCTGCCCCTCTACAGATAGGTAAATGGGGCTGTGTATCCTACACCATCCTAAATGTCACTGAATACAACTGAATCAATACCCTTTGTAAAGTCATCTACATTTGGGTTACTCAGCTGAGAACTGGATCCTGCCCTTGAAACTTAATCTGCCAACACCAAGGATATCTCATTAAAATATTGAACTGGAAGCCACAATGCGGATGCAGCTCATATATATCAAGCTTTGGTGCTAAAGGATTGTTGTGATTTTTAAATTTTGCAATCTCAGAGTAAGGACAGAGTTGGCTCTACCATGAAACGTATTTGAGAGTTTGGATTAGTGTTGCCAGCCTACTTCCCTATATTCTACCTTAAAAACTTGTCACTATATTTCTCAACTTGCTAAATTAGAAATGATCATTCTTCTTAACTAGACAAGTCACTCACTTTACCTCAGTGTTAGAGCAAGGCTGCAAATGGTACCCCTTCTCTGGTCATACAATGAGCCTACTGTGCATTTGGAGGTTGCAGCTCCGCATCCTGAAGGGAATGCTTCTGCACATAGGTAGAAAATCTGTCCTTTCCAGATGTGCAGGAGGCTGGGCATCACATACATAATGTGCAGAACAGGAACTATAAAGAGCATGGCAACTGGTAAAAAACATCAGCTGCCCTTGCTGCCTTCCCTCTCTGGGCTGCTACTTCACCACATGATTAATCTGGGGATAGGCTGAGTGCCTAAACACAGTATGTAAAATAAATTCTACGTGCTCTCACTATGTTGCAAATGAAGAAAACATTTTGCCAAGTAGGAAATACTGCAAAAAGTTATTTGAGTGCAGAGCTAATTCATTATAATGCACTTTTTATGCAATAGTTATACAGCCACACTACAGCAAAGTAAGCATACACTCGTGAAAACTGAAGAAATGGAGGAAAATCAGTTTGTGCCATTTGGCTTCAGGCAAAAATTAAAGCGAGCCATGCTGAAAACTTGTAAACTTTTCCTATGCTGCCATGACACCTGTCTTTGAAGACTGAAAAGCCTGACAGCACTGTTTGCAGAAGCTTTTCAGTTTAATGTTGGAAAATATGCATGCAACCTAAATTAATTGTGTCATCTACAATGGTTCAACTTCCCTTCAATGGGAAGAGGGTAACAAAGAGCTGAAAAAGTCTCTGTGGCATTTGCAACATGAAAGTTATTTTAGGTAAATGCATCTTTTCTTTTTGTTTGTGATCATATGCTTGTGGATGCTAAATACATTGCCCTAGCAGACCAATAGTAAGAATCATGGTTCTATTCTGCCTTTAGCATCACGTGTGCAGCTCCCAGGGAGTGGATGGGAGATAGGCACGATAAGGCAGAAATCACCATACATTCTTATTCAAACCAAATTCTGATATATTTCTCTTGCACTGTGATTTCAAAGCATGGAAAAGGGACACTTTTGGTCAAGAAGCAGTGCTGCTTTCAATTAATTGCATTTATCCAAAAATGACATGCTGCATAAACATAGGGCATGCTTTGGAATATTAATTCAGCTTTTTGGTTTTGCAAACAATCCCACCAGTCCTTTCAATACAGGGGCTGGAAAAGTTCTTTTGAAGATAACATTTATTATGCACATCAAAATGCTTCAATGCAAACAGGACAGGTAAGATAACACATTTTAAAAGGTTTCTTGTTTTCCTTGTTTTCCTTTCTGGCAAACAGGAGCATTTTATATTACTTTTCATTATTATATTTTACTTGCTTTTCCTAAGCTTGGAGCTACTTATGGAAATTACAGTATTCATGTATGATAGCTTCAGTCAAAGATATCAGGATTGGTATGAGAGGAAAATTTCGACTGAAAGCTTGTTATTCACATCGTTCTCTTCTCAGCTTGGCAAAGTTGAAGGTTAACATCATCTGTTCTACACATTTCAGATTAGTCACAGAACTTTTCTTGGTGGTTCAGTGCCTGGTCATCCAGTCAGAGGAACAGTAATCCATATGGAAAAATAATCTCAATGCTACTAGACTGGTGGTTAATACTTGAGCCTTAGTTAGGAATGTTCGCAGCATCTTGGGACTCTTTTCTTCCTTGATCAATTTCTTAAAATAGGATTCTTCATCAGAGGCTGAAAAGAGGAGGACTGTACTGAAGTATACTTTTTTTCCATCACTGAGTCTTTTTTTTTTTTTTTTTTTTTTTTTTTTTAAGGAAAAAGACACATATATTTAAAATGTCCCATGCAAAAATAAAATTAAAAATTACACAATTTGATTAGGAGTTGCATTCTGAATTCCTGTATAGTAGCTTGGTTGGCTTGTGTCCTGGAATGATAACCCTCAACAGGAGATTTGTTAAGACATACTTAATGTATAAATGCTGACACACACTGCTGAAAATGTGCTAATGAACTGCATTTTTAGTAAGAAAATGTCTTGATGTTTTCCTTTGGATTATTTTAAACTCCATATTAGCTTAGAAAAATTATTTCTTGACAACACATTCAGAATATTCCTTCCCATTTGATACACAGTTCATTGGGTTAACATGTCTTGTCTAAGTGAAGCAGGTGAAAAGGGCAGTGAACTGAGATGTAAAATCTTAAAAGCGGTCATGTAAAGGTCACCCTTTGCCAGTTAGCTTTGACAAACATCAGCTTTAAAGGGCATGTCTGACTTCAAAGGAAAAATTGCTAAATATTTTGTTTAAAATACATATTTGTAAGAAACAGGTTTTTTGAAAAACTGTGTATTAAAAATGTAAGTGAATGAAGCAATTGCATTCTCCTTTGCAACCACTCTTTAAAAACACCATTATCCTGGAAAATCAAACCACAAATCTGTTTAGATTTTATTAAAATGTAAATTCTACTACAATGCTGAATAAACATATTGTCCCAATGCATCTACTAAATTCATGTTTTTATTCACAATTAAAAGTAGATAATTCAATTCTGATTGGCTGACTGAATTTAGAATTTCAGCTCTTGATAATGTCAATTTTTGAGTTTATAATTTATTGACAAAAAGGGACACTGGCATAGTTATCTCGTTTTATACCCTCTGTTCTATTCTGTCATTTGAATGTTTTGGGTTTTTCTTTTCGTCTTGTGAGTTAAGATTTATCAATTAGAGGTTATAAGAACTTGTATTTCTGAGACTTACTTCAGTAAAAAATGGAAAAGACTGAAGAAAAGAAAAAAATTACCACAACTCAATTTCAAAAACCTGATTTCAAGTGAATCATTGTATTAAATGAATACAGAAAAAACTTCTGTGCAGATATGACAGTCAGTATAATTAAGATATATGGCTCTCACCCTCCCACTAACCTAGGAACCGGCAGACTAAATTAGATCATAATTAGAAATGAGATTGTGTCACACACCAGTATAAGCATTAAAAAAAGAAACACCTTACCAAAATTGTAGTGACAACTACTGTTCTATTCTCAATGGCTGCAGTGTCATTTCCAAGTGTAGGTTCATGCTGAATCAAAACTAATTTATCCATGTCATTCCAATAACCAACCTGAAAAATAAAATTTATATAATTTACAGTAAAGTCTACATTCTGCATAGTTACAAACATAAATTATTATAAGAACAACAGAGTGATCTAAAGATGATTTTGTGCCAAAGTAAGTGCTGTCACGTTGGATATAGGGGTACATATCTAACACTTTGAGTATACCACTTAGCACCACTTCTGCACAGAGACCTGATGACACCTCCACTAAGCAGCTCCTGAAAGATCTGAGCTACTTACTTCAATCAGAGGCACAAGTTAAATCCCATTTTCATTCATTTGAAGCCTTGCTAGGGCATAAACGAGATACATGAATTTTTGCTTTCCACAAGAATATTTTCATTCACTAATCCTCCAGATCTTCTGGTCTTAGATGGAGGAGTAAAAGACATCTATATGACAGTTTTGCAACCACGTGGCTAATCTCAATTCCTTGCTCCATCATGGGCCCCTCAGGAAACTCCAAGCAAGAGATTTACACCAGGCTTTTTCCACCTAACTGCTGGCACTGACCTTTTAGTACCTACATTAGAAGTCCTGTTATTTAAGCTTTCTTTACCCTCATAGGACAGACAGCACCAACAGACAGTGACTCAGCTCATTCAAGATAAGCACCCTTCTTGCAAAACTGCTTGCTTTTCCTCTTACTAAAGCATGATGAGAGTTTTCTTTTTTCTCCTTGGCTTCATTTAGGCTGCCACAACCCTTCCCAGAGCGGTCTTTAGGTGAAACAGCTGCTTTTGTTTATTGCTGGAGATGAACTACTCTAGAGTCAGATTTGAATCAGTCATTCTTGTATTCCCATGGAGGAAAAAAAACTACTGTCTCTTTTCTCATTCTTTCCCATTGTCTTTTCTGCAACTAGATCATGGTTGTCTGTGCATCCACTGACAAGGCTGCCAGCGAATGGCTCAGTGGCTGTTCCTCTGTCCCAGGACTGACAGCACTCAGCTTCATGTCAAATGGACAACATGAACACAAATATATCAGTAGAACAGTGTTCTAATCCTACCTAAAGGGACTCCCCGGGTTGCTGGGAACCTAACGAACTGGCAGACTGATCCTTCTTCCCAGCATGACTTAACAGACACATGATTTAAAAGGCTCCTGTCAAATAGATGCAACTCAACCTGAGACAGCTCAGTTTCAGAAGCACCTGGGGACCAGTCAGAAGCAACTGCCCCTTCCCCACTCCCTTGATTAATTAGGAGTTCATGAGACCAAGAGTTGGGAGAGAGGAATGTCTTGTCAGTCTTACTAGAAGAGGAAAGGGTGTTTTAGTGGAAAGCGGGCTACAGGCAGAGCTCCAGGCAGTGTAACTGCCAAAGGACATTCTGTGCCTTGGCTGAAAAGATTTCAGTATGATGGAAACTGGCTAAATGATCAAATCAATTATGCAGTCAATATTATTTCTAACACTGTTGTAGAGTCCTGACTAAAATTCACCATCACATAGGATTTGCCTCCATGATGAGGAGAAACCTCTTATTCAGCTCAAGGCAGTGATGTGATATGAGAGTCTAAAAGCACAAGGGAGTGCTTTTGGTTCCTAGTCTCATACGCATTATATATATCCTGTATACTCTTTAAAGAGTCAGCCTTCCTCTTGATTTTTACATTTACTATTTCACTAATTTCCTTTTTGAAAAAAAAATAAATATGGAGAGGCAAGTCAATTTAGCAGTCCCTGGAGCTGTATGGTTGAACATGAGTGATTTCTTTTCTTTTCTATAGGTGAAGCAAAGAAGCACAAACTCTGCCCATGCACAACTTCTGGCATATTTAGTTGAGGTCTTCCTTTTCTTTTTGTGATTGCTCTTACAGCACAGAAGTCTTAATCTAGGTGTCTGCAGCTAACAGGAAACATCAGCATTGATGATATAGTGGAGTAGGAGGTTTTCTTCCTAGTAAGATGCACTGCTAACAAATATTCTTTTTCATCCGGACAACCATACAGTCACAGATACAACTGATTATTGAACATTTCAAGTTCTTGTCAAAAACTGTGACCAACTAAAGGCAGAATAGGCACATCAGAACCTGGCAGTCTCGGGAATTCATTACGATGGTGAATGATTGTTCTTCATTGTGCAATTCCTCACAGCTATAAAGTTCAGAAGGAAAGCAGAAAATGAATGATGTGCTGCGTTATAAAAGTAAGTACCATATGAAAATTCAGACAGAGATAAAGGTATTTTTTGAGAAATGACAGGCATTTTTTAAAGGACCTTTAGCTTATGTGCAATGGTGTGAACACACGTGTTCAATTCAAACCTGTGCTAAAGTAACTTTGGAACTAGATTATTGAATAAATATTAAAGATATGTCATGACACTTGTATAAGTACATAGATTCACAGCCACTGTGAGAGCACTAAATAACAGTATGCTTTCCTATAAATGCTTCAAATACACAAGGAAAAAACTGCTCAAAGGACAGTATTGAATTCAGCGATTAAAGTGCCTCCAATTCTATTAGTATTGCAATTGAACTTCATTGGAGTTGCACCTACTTACATGGAGGCTGAATTTGTCTCACAGGAAACAATATTGCAAAAATATCTGCCTCAAAGTAAATTTGTCATAACAGTTTGGCATTTGACTGAATAGTGTCATTTCTGAAGGCCTGTGCACCTCGCAGCAGCCACTGAAGTGCTCCTGCTGAAGCTCACAAGACAGCTAAGGGCAAGAGAATACTCAAAAATCTTGATAATCAATTTTCCTCTTGCCCAAATTGGAATTTAGAAGCCAAATCTTAGACTGGTTTGTGCATATACACGTAATGGATAATGCTTTGTTTAATTTTTCTTTTCCTTTTTTTTTTTTTTGTTATTTCGGTGACATGATGAATGGTGAATGACACAATCACACAATGATTGAGATGGGAAGGGACGTCTGGAAGTTGTTCGTTCAAACTCCACTGTTCAATCTAAAGCCAGTTGTCCAGGATTGTGACTGGATAGCTTTTGAATATCTCCAAGATGAAGATTTCACAACCTCCCTGCACAGCCTATGCCAGTGCTTGGTCACTCTCAGAGTAAAAAAAGCATTTCCTAATGTTCAGAAGGAACCTCCTGACTTTCAGTTTGTGCTCATTCCCTCTAGTCCTGTCCCTGGGCATCAATGAAAAGTCTATCGCTTGACTACAACACTCCAGTCACAGGAGCCATTCCATTCCATCTCTTTGATCCTTGTCCTCACACCCTTCCCCTCACCACTAAGTTTTGTTATTGTTCTGCAGAGAAGAAGTAAGTAAGAAATGCTGCATAAATGAAACTAACAAAAGCATTTGCTATATTTTTCCCTTTTACTAAACTATATGGAAATCTGTCTAGCTGTGCCATTTTGTAATGATCTGTTCACATATTTAAAGCTGTGGGCAACACAAATCCCTTTTCTAAAGGTTAGAGCCATGCACTATTCTGTCTGGAAAGGCTAGTTTTGAAAAGATATTGCTGAGTGACTCATAAGTCACGCTATGTAGGACATGAGAAGAAAACATTAAAAGTGAAGGCCTCTTAGTTCAATTAAGTATAGTCATTTCTCACATATTATATAGGATTTGTCAGGCTGGACCACAGAATTGGTCCAGTGATCACATACAAAGCACTACCTAATACATGAGAAATAAGTTCTTGTGAGTAGCCAGATCTGTCAAAGCTGTTATAACAAAGACAGGTAATGGCTTAAGAGTGGTAGAGAGGCATGACTGAAAGGTAAGAAAAGCACCTTAGGCCTTCTAGAACATCATAGACATAGCTCTTCTATTTGAAGCCACCCTCTCCTTAAACTGCAAGCAAGAGGAGAGGATGGGGACATCCCTGCAGTGGTGCCAGCCACACGCATCTACCAAATTAGGTTACAAAGGTTGAAACATCAAACCTTTTCAAAAGTTTGCTGACACGCAAATTCCCTAATTAGTTACAGAAGTTGTGACCTAGTTAACCACATCTTTTGCGTCTTGCCTGTCCTCCTGTACAACTGCGAACAGAGGATGGAAAGGGCATATTTCACCATTTGCTTTTGATGCATCCCAGCCACCCAAATATCCTCCTGGCTGCCAACAGTGTGGCACAGAGCCAGGAAGGAGGTGGGACTGGTAGCAAGGTCAGATACATTGCCTGGCAGGAGACAGTGGACTTCCCAAGAGAGAGGGAAGACAAACTCCCCTCTCCCAGTCTATTATTCAGCCATCTGTCATACTTTCAAAAGACAACTGCACCAATATGCCTTATACGCTGGCACACGCTTTTCTTTGGTATACAGCTCTATATTGTGAAATATTGGCAATTTTTTCATCTGAGTGTATAATTCTGCTCTGGGTCTGCAGTTTAACACTGTGCCTCCTCAGCACTGTGGCAGGTGACTGTCTCTGGGGACACACAGTTCATCTGTGGCAGTATTTACTGCACTTGTCACCTCTGGCCCAACAGCAGAGGGCTGTTTAATTCAATTTTGATTGCTTTGGCTGTACTCAAGCATCCATGAATCTCCTATTCACTCTCACCTCCTTCCTCTTCTTGTTCTGATGACCTTACAAACAAAACAGGCCACGGTAACTCCAAAGGAAATAAAATCCATGAGCCTGAGTACATTTTCTGCTTTTATTTATTTTATTCTATGACAAATGGACAAATTTTCAGCACAGATGAGAAAGGCTCAACAAAGTACCCAGACTTATCTTTTCAAAGTGATTGGGCTGAGTGATAATGAGCATTCAGACATGGAGAATCTGCTTAGACATATATTAATGTGCACTTGCCTAAGTTGCTTACAAGCAATGAATCAAGCATGCAGGATTAAATACTGCAATGAATTTCAGAAAATGTAAGTATTCAGGGCATTCTCTTTTCCTCCTCTCTCCTATTCTCTCCTTTCACCCTTAAAAACCCTATGTTAGTAAAAGCCTATGATTCACATTTACACAGAATGTAGAAATTAACCTGCTTAAAAATGCCAGTAATTTTAAAGACAGAAATCTTTGAATAAGATACAAAGAATATCTAGTGTTCAGAGTTCTGACCATTTTCCATCACCCAGCTGCCTAGCAACATGCCATCCAGCTGGTTTTCATTAGTATGCTTGACTGACTGACATCCCACCACTCCAAGATGCACACTTGCTTTTGTGTTTCTCAATTTGTTGCATTGAATAATAGCATCTAGTAGAAAATGCAGGTTAAAAATACTTTCATCGGAAATATTCTCCATGTATTCAATGTATTATATCTTTTTAAACTGCATAAATAGAAGTTTGCATAATCATTTCATCATATGTAACTCATATATACGATACGAGGATAGTAAACATCGTCAGCACGTACCTTTCGAGGGCCCGTGTTTTTCAGCTCAAAGACATCCATGGTGTAGTTGACTCTGCGACCATAGTGGTCAAACTGAACATTTCCTGTCAATCCTTGTATTCGAACCTAAAAATGGAAGAAAAAGCATCATGAAGATCCAGCCTTATATTCTGTATTTCAAATGTCACAGAGCAGTGCAAGTTATCCTGGCTATGTCCTTAGATTACCACAACAACACTAGTGTAGAACAGTCAGGTATTATAAAGCAATAAATTTGGCTACTTCTCTTTATATTCCTTTTTCTTGTCAGACCATGCTTAAAACAGGCTTAGATATGTCAGTATCTAACTGCTAACAAAGACACACAATGGACCTCCTCCTTTTTCATGCTGTGCAGCTCAATGTCTTCCAACTGCAGGTTCTAAAGAGAATTACATTTTTTACCATTCTCATCACTCCTGCAGAGTATCCAGCGTCATATGAAAAAACCTAAGGGATGTTTTGCCTAAGCCCATGTATCCTTTAAGCTCCTGCTCTGGTGGATTAAATGTCCAAATTGAACATATATTGCTCATTAAGGTAAACTTGACAACAACCTTAGCCGCAGTAAAGCAACTTACTAACACAGAAGACGGGTGACATGCAAAGGGCTTAAAAAGAGTGTTCTCAAAGCATCAGAGTGAAGGACAGATGTAAAGCCATAAGATTGACTGTGGGAGTTTTCCACCATGTGTTTCAGCTGAAACCAGAACTCTGTTTTTCCTTTCAGTACTTTACTTAGCCACCAAAGGATGACACTACACTACTACACTAAACTGTAGTCATCATCCCAAAGAAGTCATGGCCATATTGGTGCTGGCTTTGATTGTATCAGGATCTGGCCATGCAAACCACTTTGGTGGAATTTGAAGGTTCATGTATCTGCCCAAACACAAAGCCTGACTTAATGCTTCTCTCAATTGTTACAGATCTATTCGTCTGCAAAGAGTATGTGAAGCATACAAAATGCTTTTTTCTCTCCCTAAGAGTCAGGATGTAGACTTAAATCACTTACTCTTTCCCTCTGTCCATTTCTATCTCTGCTGATTTTTCTCCAGGGCTGAAACCTTGGCTTCTAGGCACAGAGCTGCCAGCTCTGTCAGCAGTCACTTCTCCTCAGTAGTTTCTCCTGAGTGGAGCCTGCTCATTTGCAATGATTTAAATTCTACTGCAGGATTTTTATTTTCTTACTGTCCCATTCAAAGGAAAGGCTAAATCATCTTGACAGAGATCTGGAACTATCCAGGCATCCATATTCATCAGGAATTCAAAATCCTGACATCAGAGAACAATGACTCTGAATTATTTCTTCTTTAAAGAAAAAAAAATACTATCTATGTGATTTCCCTGGGAGAAGTCTACTTTTATTGAAGACGATAAACATATTTTAAAGATTATATTATGTAGCTATATCTTTTTCCTTAAATGAAATATCTGTAAAGCCAGGTTATTTGCAACAGTAACAGATGAGCTCACCAGCTCAGTGGAGGAAGTCCCACTATCTTAAAAGAATTAACAGTAGTTTCAAATAGTAGTAGTTGCCCTCTGCCTACATTCCATGTTACAAACCAGAACAGCCTGAACAGCCCAAGCTGTTCCCAAATGCCAACTAAAAAATAATTTTTCCTTCTCCATTACTACCCTCGTGCGTACTATCTTCCAAGTCATGCAGCGTTCAACTAATATCCAATATTCAAAAAGATTACTAGAATAAAGCCTCCCTTTACCTGTTTTAATGTCCTCTCCATATCAATTCCTTGACCCCATGGGGCTGCAGGGTTGGCAAGACAATCACCAGCATTTCCTCTCCTTGAAATATCAATTTTCTGTCTTCTAAGGTTACGGAAAGTTTCAGCCATCACAAGTACTCCATCATATGTCAGTGCAGACGTGTACTAAACAAATGAACAAACACACTGCTTCAGAACTGGCATGTCTTTAAAAAAATATTTCCAGTTTGATTCATTATGCAGCAGTTTCTACACCTTCATTTAGTAAAAAGCTCTCCTCAAAATCAAAAGCAAGTTTGTCAAAGAGACAAATTCAGGACACTTCAATAGCTGCAGCTTTAAAACTTTATTTCTTAAGGGTAGAAAAATCTGCATCTTAATTCATAAAAGAAACAAATCAAACTGGAGATATTAAAATCTTCCTTTTTTTTCTTTTTTGTCTTATACATTAAGCAACAACCCCATCCCCCCAACATACTCAAAACAAAAAGAAAGAAACAGTAACTCACTGAGAAAATATAACTGAAAAAATGCATGGTTAATGAGCAGACATCCAGGCTACTGGAATTCTTAAGAATGATCAAGAGCAGGATCTTCCTATTGGAAAACCTGTGTTGGCTCTCTCCCTGACCATACACTGAATGAATGGTCTGTGTTTCTGCATTAACTACAGTAACTGCTTTAGGTTTAGACCATGCCAAATGAAACGTGTACAGCAAGTCTTTGGCAGATGTTAGCCTGAAGCCACATAAACAAAAAGGTTGTTTTCTCAGTATGGTCCTCTGATAAACATACTGCATCAGGAGAAGTTCACATGCCCAGGGCCGCTACTGATATGCCTTGCAATTTACAAAATTTAAATACCCTTATTCAAGTCTAATTTCCTTCCTTTCCTTTCCCTTTGCATACTACAAGCTCTTTGAGACATGGTTTATCTTTATAATCTCAAATTTTGGTTATCCCCAGGTGAATCAGATGTGATTCAAATTAATTATGCTGACTTCTCCGAAAAAGATAGCATCATCCTGTTCACGTGGCAGGAAGTCCTATAAGTTGAATTGTTCCTGTCACCAGTAACTGGGGATGTCTGTACTCCATGGCCCACAGCACCCTTGTTTTTGCTTTTTTTTTTCTCCAGAACATAAATTTCTGGAATTTTCACTGAATTATGTAGTTATGCTTTGTAATACCCGTGTCGATGCCTTCTCCAGACTTTGCCAACCTACCAGTTTCCCAGTCAAGGGAGGACAAATTGCTTATCTTTGCATAGTGCCCAGCACAAAGGGGCTCGAGTTTCAACTAGGTCTGATATACCCTTTTGCACATAATAACAAAACTATTTTGATGAAGTCATATTTAGCACTATACTGTGATTTGCCTGCCATGAAAACTATGTGTGAGATAAATATTTTATTATCAGTCTGTGAGGGATTAGGATAGAGGAACACTGGGATGACATTTCACTTTAAAATAATGCCTGAAAGTGATTACTACACCAGGCTTTGAGGTGGAAAATTTCCAAAGGAAACTCCATAAGAAAAAGTAAAGGTAGTAAATTTATGAGTACTATCTCATACATAGAAGGATTCAGCTGTTGGTAAAGCTCTGCACTCTCAGTAACTGAGATAATTAGACTAATGAATGTAAATTTTATTGAAATTAAGTTGTCAGTTAAGCATTTGACCTTTAAGTGATGCTGGTAAAGGGGTGAAGTTGGAGAATAAGTGACAAAGGATATTCAAGTACATCAGCAAAATGTGCTACAGTTTGTGTTTCCATCATACAAATGTAAGGATAGGCATGATTAGTTGCCAATAATAGTAAGATCAACTGCTTTCTCCTCTGCCTAAATATTCATTCATGTACTCAACAATGTTAATCAGAAATTAGAACACTTGAGTGATATCTTTGGTAGCGCTTCAGATCAGCCGGTACCTTTGGTGGGGTCTCGGATCCTGGGTATTCTCTCTGGTCCAGCTTCTTCCAGCGCTGCATCAGCTTAGTTACCATCGGGGTGCTGAAATCTACTAGCTGAAATCCAGTCACATTGGCTCCTCCATGCATAAATCTCTCCAGAGAAATATCTTTGAATCCCTAGAAAATCAATTTAAGATTTTGTTTGCCCTCCTACATCACTGTGGGTCCAATCTGTTCTAGGTCAGCACAGTATCATAAAGAATGCACACCAGCAGGATTCCATTAGAAGGCGAAATTTAAAACCAGAGAGTAATATTGAACCTTCATTTATAATTTCCATTTGTGCAATAAAGAAACAAAACCAAGAAATAAATTTCCCACATTATTGCTAGGGTGGTCTTGACAGCTAAGCAACACATTGCTGGGAATGGCAGGCAGTTTTTGAAGAAATGCCTTTGGCAAATCAACTGAAAACTGCCTGTAGAATATTAAAACCTTAATCCAATTTCCATCAAATTTGGCAGATTTGAATGAGCACTGTACTAGTGCTTTAAACAATGCATTCCTCTTCCTTTGCATGTTTGAAAAATGAACAGTATTCTGTAAATATATTTATTCCAGGATTCATTGTTTAGGCTGAAAATGTCTGAAATAATGAGATACTACAACAGACATTAGAAGGCAAAGACAGCAGATGAGGATCTCACTGTTAGTGCAAGGAAAACACAACATAGAATCACACTTCTGTGATTTAGGAGTGTTTTAGCTGTCAGATCTGTTATAGTTGCTATATATTGAAAACCTAGTCTGATCCCCACATTAAAAGAAAAAATAAAGTCCATATACCTCCTGACTTATTAGTTTCACTGGCTAATATGTTCAGCACATATAAAGACAAATTCTTTACTAAAATTTGCTTTTAGGGACAGAACTGAACTTCAAGAAACTGCATAACGCAAACTGCTGAAGTACTAAGAAAGAAGAATAAATCTTTCTGCTCCTTTCCTAGCTGCTATGTTTAAGGCTAGCTTAAATTCCTCTGATTGGCATTTATCAGTGAAAATAGAAGTGTAAACTTAACTTAGAAATTTTTAGGAAAAAATTTTGTGGGGTACTGACCCAATATCCCAGGGGAAAAAAATCCTGTAAAGACAGAGATTTGATTCATGTCCTAAGGGATACTGACAGTAAATATAAAAGGTGACACATCAGGTCATATTACCCACATTTTTGAACAGACAGTAGGTAACAAAGTGTGCCCCTGCTGAAGCAGAGGAGTAGATGTGCCTATTTCCCCTGAATACCCCACTAGCATTTCACTGCAACATCCGGTTCCTTGTTTACAGCACCTATTTTGCACGTGAAAAATTACTTGGAGAACTATAAAATTGTAATGCTGAAAAATTTAATTTGTAAGACCTAAGAGAATAGACATGTCTCATTTAAAACACCTGAGGCCCTAAAAATAATCTGAAGTGATCTTAAGTTAAGGTACAAGTACAGGAAAGCATAATAAAATATTTCATGTCAACTAAAATTCCTTGAGGGAGAGTAGAAAGAAAACAGCTCAAAGCATACATTAGACTCTGTCCTACATTCACTGTGCTTTGCCAGGCATGTTTTTGGCTTAAAAAATGAGTTATTTTAACAATAAAATATTGAATTTACTCCTTCTTTGCCCTCTTCTGAACATTATCTGTGTGAATGTCAAATTTAGACTTAGAGTGAAAACACCAAACTAGTAATTGGACTGGAAATAGCTGATCTTACATGAAAATCAATATTCCCTGGAGAATGTAGAAAAGTTACCTCCAGAATTATTACATTATTAACAATAAAAAGATGAATCAAAAATCAGTGCAGTCCTTCAAATTCTAATTCAGCCACAAGGTACAGTCCTAGCAGTCCTCTACACTACACTGATGATTTTTTAAAAAATTTAGGAGGTTACATTGTGCCCTTCATATCTAGATGGCTGTAACAGCAAACCCAAGTTCTTTTACGTATCATAAAGAATATGTTCTGTACAACCACATATTAGAGACAAATGGGAAATGTGTGAAGTGATATAACTTCTAAGTAAAACTGAGTGTTTCACTTACCGAGCAGGAGTATAATTCTAGAAAAGTATCTTACCAGGTTGGCAACAATATAATGATATCCTTTAACATGCTTTCCCACGCTCACAATCTGTGAGGGAAATAAAAAAGAAAAACAGTGTCATACTCTTTTCTCTAGCACAAGTTATATAAAGTTAAGAGTCTATCTCTAATAATGTAACTATAATTTTCCAGGGGCGTAATCATGGGAAAAAGTTAAAATTGAGTGAGTAAAGTAATGAAATGGTAATCTCAGTGTCTTCTGTATTGAAAATGTTACTGTGGTATACTATTTAATTAAGTAAAGTGATTATCTATAGGATACAAATTCAGAAGGAGGACGTCACACATTAGCTACAAAGCCTATCCACTGATGTACTTTTTAATTTGAAATAAATGCAGAATTTATGAATCACACTGGGTTTTCATCTCTTTTGATCAAAGCTGTTCGCCCTTGAGGTGGTCAAGTACTATGAGTGTTACTCAGCTCTTAGTAAAACAGTAAAGACTTTGGGAATGAGCATGAGCAAGGACAGAGCGAGAATAGTGAGGCTGCTTTTGAGTGTTTAACCAAAATATATCATGAAGTGATGCAAGAAGGAAACAACCATCATGTGCAGCTGCTACAGTCCTGACAGGGCAAGATCAGCCACAGGGTTTAGACAAAAACTATATCAACCCACCCCATGTATCAGTATTATTGCAATTTCTGTGATGTAATAACTCTTATTTAATGTGCTGAAAACAAAAAATGAGATAATATTTTGTCAGTAGAAAATGCTGATAATAGATTCATGGCACACTAAAGCTGCTTTTACTATAGAAACTAACAGTACTACCTGCAAAATGCAGATTGCATTCAATACCAGTACAGTCCTTTGAACTCTTATTTTTGATAGTGTAGCACTCATTTAGAAAAAGTCTGCTTGCAGCCCAAATATATTTTTTCCTCCTCATGTACTCATCTCCACAAAGCATTTTAGCTTCCCTCCAAATGAATAAATAAGACACAAGTAAAATTTTTCCATCAAGTGCAGGTTACTCAATAAGTAATGGGAAACTTATGGATCTGTCTCCTTGCCTGCTTTGCAAACTTAGCTCTACACCATGTCTGAAGAACTGACAGCTTCTTGCCTTTAGGGATCACACCTCATGTTCAAACGACAGAACAAACACTCACTAAGCCTTGCAGTCCCTTTTCCCATTGCTGTAAAAAATAAATAATATCACATGTTGGAGATGAGGACAAGTTGATGAAGGACTAAATAATTTGATCAAAGACACCCAAGGATCTAAATGGGGAGTAAGAGCTGGAAATGTTTGATTCCTGACTCTGTTTTTCTAAGTAAATCACTTGCCTTTTACTGCAGAGTGGAAGGGAAAATCCAAGGGATGTAGCATAAATATGTTGTAAGAACTGTTTTAATTTCATTATTTTAAAGTATTAAGTAAATAACCAATTTTTCTTTTATCCTTTAACTCATTTCCAAAATTTTACTTCCTTAGTATAGTCTATAGCTAAAGTGTATTTAAAAAGAAAAACAAACTTAAAAAGCCCCAAAAGACACCACGCCCCCCAAGCCATGATTGTTACCCTTCATATAAATGAATTTTAGACTCAATAAAATTCCTATTAAGATCAGTGATGGCTGCTAACGTTTTATTAGGGGTGACAGAGAGAGAGAGAGAAGATACAATTTTCCCTATTACTAACTCAATACATGCGAGGATGCTACTGTCAAGTAAGTTTTTTGCATATAATGAAAAGGTTCAAATCCTGGCTGGTTTAATGGCTTCAGAAGGAATGTGATTCCTCATACCAATAATACTTTTACATCTCTTCTCATTCAGCAGTACATGGTAATGAAAGTATTTGCCTCTGCATTACATGGAAACTGATATAGATTAAAAATTTGCATTTTCAAATAAATAAAGCATCACAGTTTGAAAGTTATTAAGTGGACTGATACGACTTAAGATCATAGAATCACAGCAGGGTTTGAATCGGAAGATACCATAAAGATCATCTAGTTCCAACCCCCCAGCCATGGGTAGGGACACCTTCCACTAGACCAGGTTGCTCAAAGCCCCATCCTGCCTGGCCTTGAACACCTTTAGGGATGAGGCATCCACAGCTTCTCTGGGCAACTTGTTCCAGTGCCTCACCACCCTCAGGGTGAAGAATTTCTTCCTTGTATCCAAGCTAAATCACTCCACTTGCTAGTAAAAAGTCCATCTCCAGCTCTTTTGTAATTCCCCCTTCAGGTAAAGGAAGGCTGCAATGAAGACTTCCCAGAGCCTTCTCTTCTCCAGGTTAACCAATTGCAACTCTCTCAGCCTGTCTCCACAGGAGAAGAAGAGCTCCAGCAACCTGATAATTTTCATGATCCTCTTCTGGACTTGCTCAAACAGGTCCACATGTTCCTCTGCTGAGGACCCCAAAGCTGGATGCAGCACTCCAGGTGGGTTCTCACCAGAGCAGGTGAATCACCTGCCCACACAGAATCACCTGCCCCAACCCAACCTGCCCCAATCACACTGCTTCTGATGCAGCCACATGTGGCTGCTCTTTGGGCTGCAAGCACACATTGTTGGGTCACAATGAGCTTGTCATCAACACCACCTCCAAGTCTTTCTCCTCAGATCTGTTTTTAATCTATCCACCACCCAGCCTGTACTTGTGTTTGCACAAACACCTGTCCCTGGTGTAGGACCTTGCACTTGGCCTTGCTTGAACTCCATGTGGTGCACACAGGTGATGTCTGTGACATGGTAACTCTATATCAGATCCTTAGCTTAGGCAAATCAGTGCAGCTCCCTTTGAGCTCTGGGAAGTTGACCTAGTTTTATCAATTCAAACCCTTAGTGATCTGCTCCCTGGTTTGGTTTCATAACACAAATTTTGATCATCACTGCTACATATCAGTCAAATAAAACAGGGACACGATTAACCTGTAAGCGTTGAGGTACAACAGATAGATGTTCATTGTTGTTACGGTCAAAATGAGTAAATAATGTAAATTATTAACTAGATTTACTTCTGTCCTTGTTCCTAGAAAATGCACATAGGTATCACTGCAGAATTCCTGGATTTGATGTGAATAGTACCTAATAGTTTTGAAAAAAGAAATTTGAAAATTTCATCATATTCTCTCAAAACTTGTTTCTTAGGGTAAGTGATAAAAGTACACATGTATGTATCATCTAGTTGTCTTAACTTCCTTTATAATCTGTGGAAAAAGCAGGCACTTTGAGGAAATGATTCATCTTATTTTAAAGCACATGTGTAAAATTAATTAGACAACCTGTGTCCTGAAAGTACCTATTTTTCTGCACTTACTAAAAAAACCATTGATGGTGATTAGCTCTGATGTAGACACCTACATTTTATATCCCTAATGTTAAATGAGATGAATTTCACTCTAAAAATGTTGATTATGCAAACAGAAAAGAGAATAATTGTTTGTATTTTCAACCAAGATTGGATACAATTCTGATTTTGCGTTTGAAAAGTCTTATAGTTATTGATCACACACAGTTTGAAAAGCAGGAACTGGTTATGATTTAGGAAAAAAGTATCTTTTCAGTGAAACAGCTGTCAATATCTCATAGGTTTGAATATCCAAAATATACATACAGTCACTTTTCTTCTTCAGTACTCAAAGCAGGAGATTATAATCTACAAAACAGGATATGAATTCTTGTTACCTGAAGAACCACCTTTCTCTACACTGCACATCTACCCTGAGATAAACTGAGCCAATGAACTTAAGTCCTTTGTAACAAGGGAAGGCGTTTGACAGCTACTCAGTCTGGAATGCAAACTCTTACACTTTCCTTCTCTATTCTTTAACTGGTTAGCAGTTTCTGGAACTCTGAGAGATGAGACCTCAACCATTCCATACATGTAGGAGTAGATATTACCCAGAGCCAAACACAGGCCTGAGATTTTTACAGATGAGACACTGTTCAGGAAAGCCTTTGCTAGAGAAGTTTATTAATTCTGGAGGTACCTTAAAACCCAGGTGCTTCCTTCTGCATCCCTAAATTCAGACCAAAAGGCCAAGCCCACTCACAGTCTAGAGAGAGGGTAGAATAGCATTGTCTAACATCTGTATTAGCAAGAAGGGCAGCTGGTAGGATAAGATCTGTACAGCAAAAGCTGTGGTGTTAAGAAGATGGCATCCACAGCACACCTTTCAGTATTTTACTGTGGACTCTCTAATCTGGTCACTAGGCTGAGCTCACATTACACTTCTGGGCACATCTTGTTTGGCATTATCCATGTGAAAACAAGTTCATGTATTTTGAGTCCAACCTCGATGTGAAACTCAGTAATTTGGAGATTCACTGTAAAAAAAAGCACATTCCTAACACCAACTAAGATACTCTCGTGTGCCAGTGGTAATCAAAAGTAACTAGAATTACATCACTGACTTTAAAGTGTGGTAAAACCAGGGCCAGTGAGATGTGAATCTAACTTAGGCTTTAGGCACAACTCTGAACTTTGTGTCTTTATCATATGATACTGTTCTTTCCATTTAGATGAACAATAGCCTAGCCTAGGAAATTTTTTTTCCTCTAAGTGGCAAGTTCACTGAATTTGATAAAACTATTTGCAGACTTACATTAGCATCAGAACACAGAATCTGGTCCAAGTCATCCTCTGTTCTCTACTACTATGAAATGGATATTGTATATCACTCATTTTAAAAGAATGTTTAACTTCTGTAGCATGAAATGTCCCTCGTTATGATTTCCAGAAGATGAAGGTCAGTACAGCTGGAGTGCAAAGGACTTATTTTCAGTTATATATCTTCAAAGGGTGATAGCTGTGCATTACCAATTGGACTTTAACAAAGGTTTTCCTCTTTGCTATTGTGTCACAATCCACTGCCTTAAGAAAAAGAACACCTGCAATAAAATGAAGTCTGTCTAACACAATACAAAAAGTGTGGACACTTGTTAAAGAAGGAAGATTGAGACCTGTCCTGAAATATTGCAGCAGAAATGGTAACGATATAAACCAGAACTGAAATAGGATTTTTAATACAATATCTGAAGCCAGGACAAATCTTTTACAAAGCCATA